ATCATGTACAAAATGTCAGGAAAGCGGAAGACAGGAAATAATGAATCATTATAGTGAGAAAAGCTTTGTGTCGCACGCAAGCGTGTTTAAATGCGCATGCCATGTGTCTGTATCATATTTGATATGCACATTCCTAATTCCTCTAAATTATCACCATAATCAAAACTTTGCTGAAAAACCTGTTTACACAATCTAATATATGCCTATCGTCTGATTGATAGTGTGTAATAGAAGTTTATGCATTTTTTGGCAAGTAAAAGGCCTTTTAGTATAATTGTAAAAACGTCCCCCTTCAGGTCGTGGCACGTGAACGTTTAACTAAATTTTAGGTAAATGTAAAAATAACTTTTATATTGTTATTTCAAGATGAACATTTACTGGATTGAAGCCACTTTGAGGAATGTTTATTTGTTCATCTCTCAATCATCATCGTACTGCACTGCATTATATGTTTTGCCTCCCGAAATAAAAACTACAGCTTTGATCATAAAAATAAACATTTTAATATCATCATACAGACACATACTATTGGAGATATAGAGTGACAAATGATATTTATATGCATTTTATGCAAGTAGTCTGAATTTCATCTTACTTTTCTGCCATATAAATATCAGCATTAAAATTGCATATATTTTGCTCAGTTTGGCTCAGATGTTCAATGTCCTACATCATAGGAGTCATAAATGCCTGACATAACAAATATGATACTCAAAAAAAGATGCATAGACCGAGTCTGAAAACTTAGGCAGCTGACTTGTTGCCTCACGGCCTTATCAGGCAATGACTTTGCAGGAAGCGTTTGCGCACGAAGGTATACCTCACAAAACTGATTTCAGACGAACTTCTGAGGCAGCGTGATGGTTTATCTACAGCAAAGCGAGCTTTGGTGATAACTAAGCAAATATTAAATTGCTACAATAGTAATTTCTCGCTAGAAATTACATCAAGTTGGTTGGTAAAAAACGTACATTTACACCAAACGCAACATTCAGACACCATCTTTATTTTTCTAGCTTAACTGTCATAGAATAGAAAGCACTGGATTGTGGGATATCAAAGGCAGTGAAGGACACCTCTATGCTGCCTTAAATTTATCAGGTTTGCGTTTCCCCTACAATGACGTAACTCGCTGCTTAACTATAGTACAATGCATCGTTGAGGAAATCAAGTAGCTAGTCATGACTGTTTCCCGAAACCGTATTGTCGCAAATTGGTTGTTTAACCACGTTGGTTAAGGATGTCACGCACGTGGTGGAGTAATAACTTATTTTAATGAATCTGTTTGAGATCAAATTAATGATCGTTTTTTTTTTTTTTTTTTGCTATAAATTACAGACATGGCAACTTCTCATTTTCCTCAGTTATTTTTAGAACTATGTTTTCGGGAAACACCGACTTGTTGAACTATGCTGATAACGACGGAACATGCGACCATAGTTGGCTAACGATGCTTTCGGAAAACACACCCCAGATGAAGGTATCTCAGGAGACAGGATGTGAAGCTAACATTGGATTTGGACGTGCCCTGATGCCTTAGTTCCTACCCTGGAATGCATCCTCCAAAGGCAGCATTTTTAAGCTTTTGGACACAGCCTGCTCCTGGAGAGCTACCATTCTGCAGAGTTCAGCTCCAGCCCCAATCAAATACACCTGAACCAGCTAATCAAGGTGTGCAGGGTTACTTGGAAATGACTGGTGTTGGAGCAGGGTTGGAACTGAAGTCTGCAGGAAAGAAGCTCTTCAGGAGTAGGGTTGGAGATCTAAGGGGCTGTTTACACGACACCATTTTCGAATAAAAGCGTAATACTGTTAATGTGTTTTGGCCATTCATTTACATGACAACAGCGTTTTGGGTGCCTGAAAACGCAAACTTTTGAAAACGGGTTTCAAAATGCAGGTTTTTGAAAACGGTGTCCGTGTAAACAACAAAAACGAGAATCTCTGAAGACGATGACGTCATGCACATGTGTATTACGTGTTCAGTCTATAGAGTTCAATCGCCATCTAACGGCCTGGCAGCAGAATACAGCGTTTTAGTCATTTTTGCGAATCCGTGTGACAATGGTGTCGTCTGTACGCGGATAGTCTCGCGTAGCCTGACCTTCAGACTGACGGCTGAAGGTCCGGAATTCATAGCAGCTTTCTTTGGCCAAGGCCCACCCATAAGGCCGTTTGACCGACATGTCAAACAACCAATTACAGTTCGTTTCATTCAGCGTCACGTTTCGGGGCGTGGAAATGTCCCCACAACAACAGACCGGCGTGCAACAAGTCAGTCAGCATAGAAAATCAAAGAAGGAGAAGAACACTTCAAGAGTCTATGCCGTGAACCTCGCATACTTTTGAGAATCCTACGTTTAGCTGATCTTGATAAATGCTCATTGTCACTCATGTAAACAACAGTTTTTCTTCCGCAATCACATGTCTGCGCTTTGTTTCCCGGCGGACCGAAAATAAACGCGACACTCGCGCCCCCCGGAAATCCGATAAAATTCAACCAATCAGATGACGACTTCGACATTCCTGAAGTGTTTCCAGTTAAGTGTACCATATGCATCAGACGTTTAGCCAACGTTCCGTGGGCGTGACGTCTGAGGCTGAGACTAGTACGCGGACAACTCAAAGGAAAAACTTCTCCGTTTTAAGCGTACCGTTGTCGTATAAATGTACCCTAACTTTAATGTGCATTTAAACTTTTTTTAGATTATTAAAATGGCCTTGTTCTCTCTCAGACCCTAAACAGCGCAGGCGCGTTGAGTGAGTCTCTATATCCTCTCTGTGGCCTGCTTGTTGTGTGACATCAGAGGACTCACCAGGCCACCCATTAACTACACTGCAGTCAGAAAGGTTAAGAAAACATTGCCAGTGGTTTGAGTGAGTGCAGGGGGAGGAAGAAAAAGTTCTGCCAACTAGCTTTACACAAGAGCTGGCCATTCATTAACCTGTCTTCACTCTGCTCTTGGGCACTGTACTGACCCACATAGGCTAGTATTGGAAATGCATATACAATGCACACATTCATCACTATTGACACCTCATGTCCCATCTCACTGAACTAGGATCAGCTGCTTTAGCACCTTGTGCTTATTCCGTCGCCACTAACATTTTAAATCAGACAATGAGGGTATACAAAAAAAAAGAGCAAACGGTCAAAAATATTCTAAATCAATACGAATTTCAAAAATGCTTCTATCGCAGTAGCAGTAATGCATGTAAATTATTAACATGTCGATTAACATACACACACAGTATTATTTTTTTATCCGGTTCCTTGGCACTCCTAATTGTGGGCCCCATAAAATCATTATCTCACCACATGGTTCAGGATAGGAATGTGGAAGAATTCCCTATCACACCATGACACAAAACCCCAAAAAACGCAACAGACCCAGCGCTATATTTGCCAGCACTCAAAGCAATGCAGCGTTATCATTTCTCTTCTCTATCTTCCCAGATAAGACAATGAACTAGCCAGGGCCAGTGCTGCTTTGTTTTAGCCGCCTCATTTCTTTTCCTATGGACTTTGCTTTCTTTGTCAGTGACGAAGAAGCGCAAGTGTGCAACAGGTTTAAAGTTTTACCTCTTCCCTTTTTCAACATGACAACCCGGGGCAGGAGCAAGCCGGTTAAAAGTGGACCATCTAGATTAAGGTAATGATTCAGAGGTAATGATGAGACCAGTTGTATAATTAAAATAAACTACAACAGTGTTAGTGACTAAGTTGAATGATTTCTGATATGTTCACTGGGAATACCATTGTCACCACCAGAGTGCAATAGTTGGGTTTCTATAAGTAAAAATGTTATTCATTTTCTCCATAAGCATAAGGAAATTGATTTTGAACTTATACATCTTTAAAGACAAACCTGTAAGATATAAGGTACAAGTTGTATGCTTTTGTTGAAGCAAAATGATTGTGTTCAGAAGTGGAATTCCTGGTGAAAACTACATCACCAATGAATTGTGCAAAGAAATCTCCACCAATCAGAAAGTTGCAAAGAGCATATCGCACCAAAAGAACCCTTTGGCACCCACCCACTCCCATGAAGCACTGTGATAGAGTCGGTTTCCCTATGCTCCCAAACTGCTTAAATATTAGTATGCATAAAATTTGCACAAAATGTCAATCATTTTCTCCATAGGCATAGGGGAATTGATTTTGTACTTATGAACCTTTAAAGACATACCTGTGAGCTACGGGGTAAAATCTATATACTTTTATTTAAGCTGTCAACTTTTAAACAAATATATATGTTCAACAGTGCAATTACCTACATTGAAATCTCCAATAATCAGAAATCTGCAACAAACAGATCACACCAAAATAATACTTTAGCACCCACCCGCTCCCATGAAGCACTGCAAATGAATCATGCTCTCAAACTGCTTAAATATTAGTATGCATCATTTTAATTTGATCATGTCATTCCCAATTTGTCATGTGAAGTTCTTGTAACTTTGTCTTTTTGTCTGATTTTCAAATATATATATATTTTTTTTGCTTCAGATCAAAATTTGTGAATTACCTAGCTGGTTGGTCATGGCTTATAACTCCTAAACAAAGACTTCGACCTAAACAAAGGTCGCTGAAAAAGTGGGCAAACACTGTCGCACTCTATTATAACTGACCATTACTCTGGAACATCAAGAGGAACATGCATATAAACAGCCATAAATAGTGCTTCGGGCCCAAGATTGTACTAAAAGGTACAAACACTGACCTTAAGTACTGGACAAAGGTTGGGAGCTTATCATGATACCTCATTATCAGACAACATGGGTGAATTCTCATTCCCAATGAGTTATTAACTAATTAACTCTCTGTTATTAACTAATAAACAGCACTGATTGACAAGCCCATCTTTTGAAGAATCCCACACTCACAGTTACAATCTCCCACAATAAACTGCACGAGGCTAGAATCATATCTAGATTTACAAGAGACAAGCATGCATGATCAGATAAGAAAAACGTCGCAGCACAATGACCCTCTTTACCTCAAACAGGTTTGATGCTTCATTGCCATACTGACTGGAAATGATTTCTGATTGGTCGCTGTACCACTTGAGTCCTCCCAGAAAGGTATCTGCATCGAGGTCACTGACATCCAGCTCAGAGAGGTCAAGCTCAGGCAGGTCAGGGCAAAGGGGCTGGTCTTCACCAACCAAGGCAGCACACTGGGAAAGAGAAGAGATTGTTGAGCACATATTTGCCAAGATGTTAAACATCTTCATTAAGTGTTTATGTAGAAATGAGCGCTTAGTTTCCAAAAAAGCCACATATTTCATGGCCTGGGCCAGTTACAGTGATAGTAGAATTGATCAAATGGAATTCGACGTGTTTTACTGTTGGTTAACATTTTGTTTTAACTCTCTAACTTTGCAGCTAAAATGAGCTCAAATCACACAAAAAATAAATACAAATAAAATAAACTATCACATTGCTGTTGGTGGGATCAACAAATCAATCATTCAGTACTGGTCAAGCATTACAACACCTTGTATATTGACAGCAGTCTCAATAAACATGTTCCTGGAATAAGCTTGTGAACCTATATTTGTATTGCTTTTGACTTTTTAATCCAATAAGTAAACTAAGGCAATGATGCTTTGTCATGTTTTAACACACCATGCACAATAATACTTAAAAATGCTAAGATTCTTGAGAATGAGGCATAATTGTTTAATGTTTTGCATTTGTACAGTATCTATAATCTGACATGATGTAAAAATGAAATGTCCTAACTTTAATGTGAATGTTGAGACAGTTTAGTATTTAAGATGGGGCAATGTTTTAAAAGAGATATGGAGTTGTACCCCTTTTTTTCATTGAGCATTAAATGCTAAAAATGAATTGTGTGAAACACTGAAAGCAAAACATTACATTTCCATAAAACGACTATTTGAGCATCAGAAAAGTGAATCACTGTACACACAGACTTAATTCTATCAAGTCTTCATAAGCAAAACTGACAAATTGCGCCACATCATGCCATAATATCTCAAAAAATTTGCACCTGTCTATTTGCACAGTGTGTGACTGATGTAACCACCAATAACTCATCCTTTATTTGATTCATAGGGAGTGTAACTTACCCACGTAATTGCCACCTGTGTAACTAACATGAAAAAGCTACTTCATTCACTGCTGAATTTAATAACCTGTACTCATTCGGGTTTCATTATGCCGAACTAGAGGAGTTAGACATATTAAGAACCAAATGAGAGAAACATAAATCTAACCAAACATCATATTTAGACACGTTTGCTGCATCTGGAACCACTACAACATAACCAACCAGAAAACAAATAATTCTGTGATTGGTTGCGAGAGGGGAGGGGCGGTCCGTCGTAGGGAAGAGCGCGACAGCCACGCCCTCTGATTGGTCAGAATACTGTACTTCATTTCAGTGAGTATGTTGTGAGTAGAGGGGAGGTGGGAGCTAAACCAGCAGTGCGTGCGCACAGGTGTGTAGAGTTTTGACAGACGGCGGAGGGTGCTGTAGAGTGATGCTTGTCGTGAACAGTCAAATGTTTATTTTGTACGATTGTCGAAATTATTCCATCAGCGCGCGTTAACTACTGATACTGCGTCCCAAATCGCACAACTCTGCTTTTTTTCTCGGCAATACTGACACAAATGTAACATCACAACAAGCAATCTGCATTAAGTAATCTGAAATCAAAGAAGATTCTCACACACCTCACACTTGCATCATCGGTAGCCTATCTATCTGATTTAGATCTATTTATGACACAAATCATCTCCTTCCGCTGTCACAGATTTATAGACGCCGGGGAAACCGGTTACATCCATTTGTATAGCAGGTAATGATAAAATAAGATAAAATCACATGCACCAGATGCTTCTGCCTCGGCACCTTGAAAGCCTTCTCCCCCTTTTTCCTCTAAAAAATACGGACACGCTCACGCTTAATCACGAGCACATGCACACACACACAGAGAGAGAGAGAGAGAGAGAGAGAGAGAGAGAGAGAGAGAGAGAGAGAGAGAGAGAGAGAGAGAATAGCTACTTGTGTTGGAACTGATATGATTAGAATTGGAAACGAGAAGCAATTTGCTGATTGTGTTTAGATGGATTTATGCTCCGACTGAGACACTTAACTAACCTTTTTAAAACGAAAATAACAATAGCGCACGTGCATATGCAACGTAGACAGGTGCTATACAGTCAGCGCAGCAATATATTTATATATAGTGAGTAAAAAGTTTTAGCTAGGCATACTGAATAACTGCTTTATGAATAAACCAATACGCGATAGATAGGCCTAGATAGATAGATAGATAGATAGATAGATAGATAGATAGATAGATAGATAGATAGATAGATAGATAGATAGATAGATAGAAATCATAACGTAGCTAATGTAGACTACATGAAAGTGCGTCGCTAAATTATCGTTCTTACATTTCGCCGAGCGAAACATAGTAACACGTGTTTTAAACAAACCTAAAATGTATCGAACAGCATATTTTTAATGATTCACCTATGTCATAGGCTACACTATGCAATCGTTATTGGTGTATTGCACTGGAGCAACACTTAACCTTGCAATGAAGTCTTGCTAAATACAAAGTAAACGAGGTTCAGCAGCTTTTTTTGCCGAACCCCGATTTCCTGCGCATTCTCATATAATCCAGCACGCGCTCCGCATGCATGCAAATAAGCCTTCATCGAGACTGTATCTGTTTTCTGATAGGAAAGTTTCAATGTACAATACCTGAGTACAGTACATATTAGTAATTCCAGCACATCGGCAGTGGCTCTAGGCTCTCACTGAAGCAGATACCTGTCTCATCATCACCTGCGTTACCAGCGAGCGAGCGCGCACTCCATCCACGGGCATGTCAACAATTCCCCACGACAAGACATACTAAACAGCCTGTCACTCTTCAACTCCGACACCGCTTGAGAAAAGCCAACTCGCTATCACCAGATAAATCACAGCACACACAATTTCTGCCAACATATTCGACTTTCTCACAACCCGGTGTAATCCCCGTGCATTCGGAGCGTCCGTGTCTTCCGTGCATCTTACAAGAACGGTCGACTTCACATAACGGGAACTACTACCGAAGCCAGTCTCGGACGTTTACTGCACTCCGTCTCCTCAAAGAAAAAGAAAAAAAGTGTTCCAGCCCTGGAAAAATAAGTTGCACATCAGTTCTCACCTCTAGTTCTCTCCACACCGAGTCCTGATTACACCTGTCCCACGCCATCCAGCCACTGAATGACGGTACGAAAAAATAAAAAATAAATTACGGACAAAAGAGAAAATCCACTCGTTCCCTCGCGCCCCTCACTGACAATGAACCGAGGGCACCTGTCTTACAACTGCTTTCCATCACATGACAAAGCTATTAAAAGTAGGCAGGGGAGTGACTCTTCGCTGTTACTCGCCAATGACGTACCGTAAGGAGGGCGGGGTCTGGCACGCGCATAGTAAATCTTCCTCAACTATAAACCACTCGCCCCTCTCAACATGCCTCTAGTAACAGCTAGGGTTGGGAACCAAGAACCGGTCCTGTTTTAAAAATATGACCGGAACCGAATGATTTTCTTGACGTTCGAATGCTGAACGTTTCTCGAACGTGCAAACACGAGCCCGTGTTAAAATAGCACTGTCTTATCTATTCAGCAGCGCCACAGCACCGCTACTGAATGTACAGCGCGGAACATACAGGGACCAATGCAGTTCGATTCTCGAACGAATGACTCTTGCTCCGGTTCTTTTTAGTGAATCAAACAGCCGACAGCGCGACCGGCACCGAATGAATGACACCGGTTCTTTTTAGTGGATAAAAATCATTGTGATTCTTTTGGAGCGGCTATATGCACGACGTTGGATATACAAAAACACATAAACGCTGCCAGTTTAGAAGCTCATCGGTCAGCGCAGTCAAAGGAGGGATAATTTACGAGTCAGCCGGGACCTTTTACCCATCAGTGCATCCATCAGATATGCTATTATTTTTTCTCTCTCTTGTGAACAGCTTCCTCATTCGCCATATCATAATTGGTCCGCTTAAGAAAAGCTTTTAATCCTAATTACTTTCGTTCACCGAAGTAAACACTTGCTCTAGGCCTCTTTATTAAGCAAATTATCGTTCATCTCCGCTGCAATGCGAAAGGAAAATAATGTAAATAAAGACGGGACAAATTGGTTGGTTATATGAGAACGCGCGGTCAATAAGTTGTGAAGACTATACTTTGAATCCATATCCCGAGGCATCTTCTTTACTCGAATGCTCACAGCCAGGAGTGTGTGTGTGAGGGGGTTGTGTGCTCAAATACTGTTTCATGATATAGCCTATATACGCTGGACTGCGCGCCGACCGACTGAGGACTGACTTCATTTTGAGCTCATTGGATGTCGTGTCACATTTAGCACCCCCACCTTCTCTCCCCGCGCGCGATACTTTCCATCCGGCACCGCAAACTAAGCATCGGCTTGGCTGCTCTGGAGAGTCATAACGGCTGAAAGACAATGTAATGCGCTCACAACGGATTTTCTTCCTCACCCAAACGCCAGGAAGAAGCAGGTGACGAAGTGTACAGATCAACAGTTCATGTATACGCAACACAGATAGAGAAAACCAAAACACGAGGTTTGTAGACAGTCAAAACAAAACGCAGATCGACCACTGATGACCGCCCACTTTTTGAGAGCTGGAAGCCCACTATTTATCAGCTTCATCGTCAGTTTTCATGTCCAAAACACTGAGAAAAATAATTCATATTATATATTGTGTTGGTGAGGTTTAAACAAATATGGTTTGCAAGAGTTTGCATATTTCAATATAATAAACAGAACTCCTGTAATTTTTATTTTATTTTAGGCCTATTTGAGCTTATGTCAGTGTAATGGATATCCACAGGCGACCACTCTTATCTCAGATGGTTCTTACATGGTAACATAAACACAATACTAACGCAACACACAGATGACACACTGATGCCATATTGTAATCAAGGCTGGAGCTGGAGGGATGAAAATTAGTTGGTTGCTCATTGTATGTAAAGGCACGTGACTCTCTCTCTCTCTCTCTCTCTCTCTCTCTCTCTCTCTCTCTCTCTCTCTCTCTCTCTCTCTCTCTCTCTCTCTCTCTCTCTCTCTCTCTCTCTCTCTCTCTCTCTCTCTCTCTCTTACTGGCACAGACACGCTGAAAGCCTTATCTGATTGTTCTCTTTATGGCAATTAAGAAATAGTGAGCTAAAAATATGACTCTGTTGTGATTTCCTTTTAAATGGATTTTGATTTGTTTTCATTTGCTTCCTCGTGCTGGCAGCATTTCCAAGAGAAGATATTCTTTTCCAGATAGAACCTGTCACGAGTCTGTAGTCCATGGTGGCATAATGTCTAAATGAACAGCAGGTTTCGAATGTACATTTTTTGTTAAACTGTCAATGAATAAATGCCAAACAGCCACATTCAAATAAACAGAATATTCTGGAACAAATATATCCCTTGTGAAAAAGAAGTGTGCTTAATTCTATTAAATGTGCACTTAATGTTAAAAATAGCCTATATATATATTTTTAAATGTACCTTCAAATAATAATATTAAGGAAAATAAAAGGACTCTTAACCATGGAAGCTTGATTCCACCACGGAATAAAACAATTTAAAAAATAATTGCGACTTTTTATCTCACAATTATAACTTTCTTCTTTACCTCTCGCAGTTCTGACTTCTTTTCTCAGAATTATGAGATTATAAAGTCCAATTCTGAGGAAAAAAATACTGACTTTTTCAGAATTGCAAGTTTATGTCACAATTCTGACTTTAGAATGCGCAAATTGCGGATTGCGTGAAAAAAAGTCAGAATTGTGAGATAAAAAGTCGCAGTTACCTTTTTTTATTCTGTGGCGGAAACAAGCTTCCATACTTAAGTGTAGCTACTCAAACACTTTTAAAAAGTGAACTTTGTTATAATGTCAAATTAATAGTTTTGCTTCAAAGTACATTTTAAATCACTATGTTTTAATAATCGTTTGATGTGTATATATACACACAATCTTGTATTGGAAGGCATACATTGCAGCTATGTTGGATACGGCTAAGACACACCAGCACTATAAAACATTTATTAACATGACTTGGAGGCAGATTTGGGGCAAAGCCCTGGGAGCTTACCTTGCAGTTTAAAGGCATCTGTGCGTATATTTGGAAAGCTATTTTGTGGGATATTCTTCCCCCATTGTTTCAAATTTCAGAGAAACAAAACAAATATGTGCATCTTACTGTTTTCTTCATATATAATATTATTTTTATTTTATGATGAAACTTTTAAATGATAATACACTGCATTCATGTGCTGGTAGACACAGACAGATCATAGAAACAATGCATTGCTGTAATTTCTATATCTGCTAAGGTAGTTGTAAATCTTAGAATATCTCCTCTACAGAATAAGAAAACCAGATGAAAGCAACCAAATATGAGGGCCTCTGAAATACACTTAACTTAAGATGCATCACCTTGCCGCACAACGTACCACGGATACAATAAAACCCAAAATAATAGCAGCAAATGGAAGACAGTTCCTCTGAAAGGAAGTCATCTTGAGAGAGGAATCAAAGAAAGCTATTCAGCCTAGTCTATCAGAACAAAAGGCTTTCTATTGACGAATTCAACCATTTCACAGGAGGTTTGGAGTGTGGCCGATTGCTACCTTAGAGGGCCCGGTGTGTATTATTGCAGTAAATGGCATAGCGAGGCTGGGGCGTGCTAGCCAGGACTCAGCTATGAAATTGGAAATAACAATGGTGGGACACAACAGCATATCCACACCAAGGACATAACTCAAGAGAGAAGTATGGGCTCAATGGGAAAGCCCTGTGATATTTTTTTGGAGAGAAAGCTTGAAGCCTCCGTTGGACAAAAATACCACGGGTCAAGCAGAAGAAAAAGGGGGGAAAAACTGGCTCCAGTTTCTTTCTCGGAGCAGCACACATGGAAGAAGCTCCCCCATCTGAAGCTGTTATTACAGCAAGTTAGAATCACTATGCAGTCATGAAAGATGCATGGAGAAAAACATGAGTCTGCATGCAAGAAGACGAGCGCTAGCAGGGATGTGTTCACAAGCTCCGAACGACATGCGTTCGCATGCAAGTGGAGATTTTTTATGACTTTCTCGTGATTCGACAGAATGCGAAAGGCGGTTCTAGAATGAGTGGAATTAAATGGATTGAAGCCACAACATCAAAACGGTCATACTTGTTAACGCCATTAAAACGGAGGAGTTGAAACGCATTAGCGGCCGTTCTTTTGTAGACCTGGTATGATTAGAACTCGAACTCCCTTTGTGTGAGGAAGATGAGTTTGCCTCTCTTGCTCTCTCAGCAGTGTCTGCATGCTTGGGAAGAATTAGGTCACTATTTGAGTGGTGTGCCTGCAAGAAAACTCCATGTTAAAAACGTATCATGAAATGGTGAAAGATGGGGGAGGGAAGGTGCACAGGTAGAGAATTTTAGAAATGTTGTGGTACGTTGCTCATGACCAGTCTAATTACTCTTAGAACACGTGAGGAGAGGGGGAAAAACATGTGAGATTTTGGCTTGCATACAGGCGAAAGCCCTTACGGCATCAAAAAAAAAAAAAGAAAAAAAAAAGTGTATCATCATCTTATTTTCCCCTTACAGAGGGAATTTCTCCTATATGCCACCCCACCCCACAAAATTGCCATAGCGTAGCTACCTGGACTAAGAGTGAAGACATGCAGATTTAGTGCTTCTTAACATAGATAGATCACGAAGACAGAAAATGACATGAATTCATAGACGGTCATATAACACAAGAGAGAGATTGATGGGAAGATGTTAAACAACCATTAACTGTTAAAGTTAAGGAGGATTCGAAATGATAGCAATTCTCAAACCATTCCATGTGTGTCCATCACTGGGGTGGAAAAAAATAGTTCTGCATCAATGTCATGAACAAAGCATACTTTTAAGAGTACTTATTACGGAAATAACACACATACTTTAGGCGCATACTGAATACAATGTTTTCAGACTCTTAATTACATAACTGCAATTAAAACACTTCAAAATATTAACACAACAAAATGTACTTTAGAGTAAAACCTTTAAATTGATATTATTACAAAGTGCACGTAAAAGTGAAACATCATGAAAGTGTACTCTCTTTAAGTGCACTTAAGTAGCTTATTATTTTAATATTATATTATCTGCAAGTACAGTTTTTTAATAGTTTCGATTTTCAAGAGATTTGATCAGGCATTACAAATGACTAACTCCATCTCCCAACTCAAACCCACCCAAAACAATACATGGAGGGCAGAAAGTCCTGGTCATGAAGAAAATGTAGTCACTTTTTTCTGTATTCCACACATTTTCAG